AGGACCCCCCTTGCGTACCGGACGTCAAGGACACCGATGGTCAGTGGATATAACCGGAGTTACCGTGGTCGTGCACCTTTTAAGGCGGCGTATGTTCGCCGACGGTACGTTCAGAATATTCTGCGTTATATTAAGAAGACTAAGAGGGGAGTAAGGAAGTTGCAGCTGTACAATGAACAATTAAGGGACGTTAAATTTGATAATAAAGGTGTGGTGAGATTGCTTAATAGTATTGAGTTGGGTAATAAGAGATGTGACCGTCAATCAGACAAGATCGTGGTTAAGGGTATAAAATTAATTGGGGAATGTTCAATTGGGACAAGATGCTAAAGACAAAGTTGTGGTCCACCACATATTATTTTTCATCATAAGTGATAATAGTCCGTCAGATTCCGTCCCCACACCGAACAAGATATTTATGTGTATAGGTTTACCTTTTTGCTTGAATTTGTTATACATGATTGAAATATGCTTAATTGTTTCTCTTAGTTTACATCTCTATCTCTGTCCATGTGTGTCTCTCTCTTGAATTTTGTGGACATTTGACTCAGATTTGGCTACAGTTTTGTGTATTTTTTGAAATATAGATCTCTTTGTTTTGCAATTTTGCGTTTTTGATTTTTCAAGCATAGATTTTGTAACCAATATTTTTCATTATTTTCCCCCAGGTTGATCTCGTAAATCTTTTTAGAGGAAGGGCTAAAGAAGGAGCAGGGCCGGCCCTGGGCTAAGGCTGGTGAGGCCTGTGCCTAGGGCCCCAAAAATTAGACTCAAAAAAAGGCCCCAAATTTATTACTCTTGCACTATATTAAAAACTTAAAATGGCCAAATTCTGTTTAATTAATTTAGGCTATTTTAAAGGGGCTTCAAAAAATCTATTTGGCCAAATTGATAAAAGGCTCAATTAAAAAATATTTATAAGTGTTAGTTGTTAGTCCAATTAAAAAAACAAAATATATGTATATGTATTAGTTGTTAGCCTAATTTTGTGTGGCCTATTTTTTTTTTCTCTTTATGGCCCAATTATGTGTTTTTTAGTATTTTTTAAAAAAATATTTCGTACAATTTTTATTTATTTATTTTGTAGATACATCTAATTTAGAAACACTTAAAAACTATAATATTTGTGTTTTTTTTTTTTAAAGAAAAAGTTACCAAATACAAAAAAATATTTAAAAAAATACGAATTACAAACTGAGATAATATTTTTAAAAACTTTAAACCAAACACAGTGATTTTTTTTTTTTATAAATATCTAAAAGGGCCCTGAAAAACTATTTCGCCTTAGGCCCCCGAAAACTCAAATCCGGCCCTGAGAAAGAGAAGCTCACCGGGACGCCGCTACCCCGTGGACGCTGCTCCTTTCTCTTTTTCTGTCCCTCTCCCTCAGTGGACTGAAACTCTTTTTTTTTTTTGGTGGAAAAAATAAAAAAAAAATGTTTAGGCCTGCCCAAGCCCGCCCAAAGCCCGAGCCCATGGGCCTAGCCCGAGGCCCGGTCCATTGGCCCACCCAAAGCCCGAATACCCCTGGGCTTGTATAGCGATCTCGGTTGTCCCTCTACTGTTCTGTTGCATTCCGGACTCGGTTCTGTGAAGTTGGTTGATGTATCTATCTTGTTGTCGTCCTTTAATTCCACTTGATTGAGTTTTAGGATGTTTTGGGCAGGGTTGTTACAGGTTGGTTAGGCCTTGGTTCCAATTCCTTGTTGCCCAGTTTTTAGGCGATCCGCTCGAGCGGGTCTTCTTTCGCTCGAGCGGGGATTGCACACCTCCAGTATTTCGTATTCCTGCAAAACTTCTACAGATGTGATTTCTACGCTCGAGCGGGTTTCTTTACGCTTGAGCGGTGGCGCTCGAGCGGGTTTATTGGCGCTCGAGCGGGTAGTACTTTCTGGGTATAAGTTCTGGGAGGGGGAAATCTACGCTCGAGCGGACTGGTTTTCGCGCTCGAGCGAAAGTGCTTTATTCTTGTGTCTTGGCACTCGAGCGGACCTTATTGCGTTCGAGCGTGTCCAGATTTTTGTTCTTGGCGCTCGAGCGTTGTGTTCTCCGCTCGAGCGGGTCATGCGTATATGAGTTATCCGCTGGGCCATTTTAAATCACTTTTTCACTTTTCTTCTCTCTCTTACTTTCCCAAAAACCCCATTGTTGAGCTTCTCACTCTAGAACTCTACCTTCTCTCTAGGTATTGATCTAGCTAGGGTGTTTTCCTCACCTTTGGCCTTTACAAAAGAGTTGTTGATCGTCGAGGGCTATCTTTTAGTCCGAGAAACTCGTGGTTTGGAGCAAGTTCGTTTTCATCATTTTCTTCGTTGGTTGTCATCCTTTGAGGTAGGGATTCCTACTCACTCTTATGGTCTTTGACCTAGATTTTTAGTTGTTTTGATAGAGTGTTGAACTTGGGAAATTTTGGGACTTAGGGTTTCAAAATGTGTAAAAAGGGTTTTGTGATTTTGGGCTCATAACTTGTATTTTGGGTTTCAAAGTGATGATATAGTTGTTGGTTGTTGATATTAGGCCATTTGGGTCAATATTGGGAAAGGGGGTAGAAAACCCTAATTTGTGATATAAATTAATTGGCATAATTAATTTGGGAGAATTGTGAACTTATGGAATTGTGTTAGAAATAATGAAATTGGTTCATTATGTTGTGAAATGATGGAGTTGGATTTATAAGTCGCTCACTTTTGAAAGCATTGATATTTTATCTGTCGGAGCTTTTATTATCTATTTAGAAATAATTGCTTGGGCTACCGGTGGAGGGTAGTTTTGATTGTTGTAGACAATGCATGATGATTAGGCAAACTAAAACTAATCATTTGGTTATGTCATAGAGTATAACGGTTGGTAGAATACATTAACGTTATGTATTGATGGATTGCGTATATGACCTTTGTGTATATATGTTGTGTGTGTGGGAGGAGATAGGGGATGTACTCCACGGTTTAGGGGAAGATAGGGGGTGGACCTCTAAACCAGATGTTGTTTGGGAGGAGATAGAGGATGGACTCCACTGATACAGCTCATATGCTTGTCAGATATTGTGTGGATATAGCTCATATGCTTATCTTTGGAAGTATTGATACAGCTCATATCTTATCTTTGGAAGTGTTGATATAGCTAATATGCATATCTGTTGAAATGTGGATATAGCTTGCATGCTTATCTGTTAAGATGTTGATACAACTAATATGTTTATCTATTGAAAAATGGAAAGTGTTCGATATGAGTCATCGTCTCATATAAGTGGTTGGCCAGGTTCTGAGCCATTGATGTAAATTGTGAAATTGATAAGAAATGGAAACTGAAATGAAACATGAACATAGTGGTCATGAAATGGAAATGGATTATGAATTGGTTTATGAAAGTTGAACATTTATCAATTGCTAATGTCTTAGTCATTGCTCATACTGTGTTTAGCATATCTCTACTGGGCGTTGGCTCACCCTTTATGGGACATTATTTTCAGGTACAGGTAGTATGCCACCTCCAAGGACATAGCTTGAAGCAAAGCAACGAGTACAACGACCTCGCTTACGAGAAGAGGTAAGCAAATAAACACGCCCTGCATGAGACTAACAAGTCGAACCACATTTCTCACAGAAAGGATGTAAGAAAATTATCATGTAAATTCAAGCCAAGGGCTTAATATGTATTGAGTTAGTACTCTTGTTTTGTAACCAAGTGTTAACTTGGAAAGCTGTAAGCCCATAGGGCATTTGCTTTTGTTGTTAACATGTAATACAGTTGTAAGAATTACTCTGATGAATAGAAATGGTTGATTTCTTTTGTATCAATGCGTGCCTAAAATGTTGGTTATCATGTATTATTTTGAGGGCGTTACAGCTTGGGCCTAATTTTCTGGCCCGTGGATCGGCTTAGCCCGACTTGATTTTTTAGCGGGAGCCCGCAAGGCTCGACATGGGGTCGGGCCGGGCCGGGCCAAAATTACACCCCTAAAACTTCTTCTTCTTTTTATTTATTTATTTATTTATTTCCCTCATCAAAACGACGTCGTTTTGATGAGGAAGTCATCTTAGCCGATCACTTCGCACAGTCACGATCTTAAAGTGGCTCCGTTGCAAGCTACAGCGGAAGCGTTTTTTTTTTTTTGAATTTGAACAACAATTATAAAGTTAGACTCTCTCCCCCCACAATTCTCTTCATCACTCACGTTCATCTTCTTCTTCTTCTTCTTCTACCCCAACTCTAAAAAACATCAATCCCCCAACTCTTTGCTACCAGTATTCTCTCTCTAAAAAACCCCAGCTCTGATATATATATATACATATATAATGGACTCGATGAAAAACACATATACATTTGCTTCCAGTATTCTCGACCAAGTTTCTCATTCCATGGATGGCGGGAACGAGAATTTTTATGACAATAGAGTCGTCAAAACTACATCTATGAAGACAACTACTGTTTCAAAGAAGGAGAAACGGCCGATCTGGCCTGGGGCTAAGCTCGCGAGCTTTTTCAAATCTCTGTTCACTAATGGAAATTCGAAGAAGACGAAGAAGAGAAAAGCAAAGTCCACTCAAGCATGTACGTGTTCATGGGCATCTACGTGTTCAGTGGCCGTGAGAGAGATTTTGAAAGGGCATGCAAAGAATGCTATGGTACTCAGAAATGAAAATGCTAGTGGCAACGAAGACGACTATGAAGATGCGGCTACTGATTCAAGTTCGGATTTGTTCGAGCTTGATCACTTGGCATGAACTGGGAATAACAATAGTAGATAATATTGTGTAATGATTTGTTAGTTTCATAGTTGATTATGAAGAAGGTTTTTTAGTCAAATCATAAAGACTTTTTACCCTTTTTAACTTGTTTAGCAAAAAATAAAATAAAATAAAATGTTTATTTAGAGATTACCAAGTCAGATCTTAGGCATTCACCCCCCCAAAAAAAAAAAAAAAAAAAAAAAAAAGTAGGATCTTTAGGTTGTATTTGATTTTGAATTTCACGACAATTTATGAAAGAAAGGGAAGTGAAAAAAAAAAAAAAAACTTGTATTCCATACACTTCTCTTTCATAAATATGAAATCCAAACATTACATTAATTCCTAACCAAAAGCATAAAAAAAAAATTGTAGTGTAGTGACATGCTATAATAAATCTTTAAAACTTAAAATGAGACAGTAAAATAGCCTATAGGAGCCACATTAATTTGAAAGGAGAAATGTTAAATTTTATTGGATTGCATAAATACTACTACGATCAGGTGTAACTGGACCAGCAATATTTGGTGCGGCAGGCGCAGTGTAAGGCCGAGATCGACCTGATTTGTCCAGGTAACAAATGAAGATTGCCACTGTCAATACCAGAAGGGTGATGCACCCGAGTATGCTCGCCTATAAGGTAATATTACTAGTCGTTGCTGATGCTGATTTCCCTCCAGGTTCATAGTCAACATCAATTTCCACTCTTTGACCTGTAAAATAGACACCTAAATCACACAAAACTTGTGGAAACGATTTTCTGATTGATGGTAAAAAAAAGTGGAGTTGTATTAAGGGTGTTGGGAAAAATGCACACCATTGGCCGGGAGTGTGATGATCACTGTATCTGTGAACTTTTGAGCCAGAATCCCTTTGACCTGAAGAAACAAATAAAAAGTAGGATGAATCTGAATTATTTATGACCATAGCAGTGATTATGATGAGTCCTGCTGGAGACCCCCAGCAGGAGAGGACCCCAGCACCCCCACCTCCACGTGGGGGGCTGCCAATGGATGAAAAAAAAAAACAGTTTTTTTGGACCAATGAGAAGGGACCCCCAGCACCCCCACTGGGGGTCTCATGCATTTTCCTTTCATTTAACCAAACTTAGAAATTCTTGCATTCTAAATTTCAAAGCTTGAAACGAATCTCATGGCTTCAGTTTTCTTGAATAAATAATTCTTCTTTCTTTTACACGTCACTAATTTAAATTATTTATGTAAATATGATTCAGTTTTATTTTTTTTTACATTTCCCTATTAAATAAGTTCAAACTTACTCCCCCTTCTGGATCACATTTCAACCAATGCGAAAGGTCATTCCAAACCACTTCTAAGGATCCAACCTTTTTTTTTGGGGGGGAACTATTTTAAAGGATCAAACTCAATAGACAAATTTGTTTACTAATCTAATAACTTACATTATAAGTATCTAATAAAACAAGGCACACTCTTCACCTCATATTGTGCACGCCCTCCAAGCCCAAAATCTTCTCTATGGGTGAGATTGATCATCAGTTGATCCCGGTCATGCCACTGGACTTCAACATCTACATCAGAAAGTGATGGAGGGTAATATACTGAAGGCAGCACCAAAAATCGATACAATTCATACCAACAATAATATTGTCATAATTACACTGCTGGTGGTACACAAAGGAAGTTGGTTACAGATACTATCAAACAAAAAAAGATACAAGACTCATAACTCCTCTTGCATCTCATTGAACAGAACCTCGAGTGGTTTCATTTTAAGAACTTGGGTAAATTATAAAAGAAAATGGCAAAAAAGGGGGAGGTGAACTGGTTGTGACCGTAGATTATGTATTTTCTGAACAAGTAGAGCACTGAATGACAATGACAATGCCAGAGACATGCCATCCTTCAATTTATTTTAGATATTAGCATTCCCTTAAAAAGATTGGCTTCCCCTACATACGACGATCCCAAAATGGGCACTTACAAAACTCCCATCTCATTTGATTTCCAATTAGATTCAATATATTACCTTGTGTGTACATTTAGGGCAAACTCTTGACAGGGAAGGGCCAAATGTTGGACGAGAGGCAGGGCTGGGTAGCAACCACTGGCATTATTTGCATTAAATGACCACTTTCAGATTTGAGCTTATATTTTTCCCCTTGAGAACCAATTCTTTACCATTGCACCCAAGCACATGGCCCATAAATTAACAATTATCACATTGTTCATGGTTGAAAAAAATAAACCCAGACATCGAATAGCTCATTGGATCGGGAAATAATTTTACTTGGAAAGTTATTGGGCAAATCCTAGAAATATAATAGTAAAGGTATTTCTATAGAAAGCATGTTTGGGAGGGATTAACAGTGCCATTCTTTCTGTTTCATCCCTATTATTAGTCTCCATAAGCAACATCAACAAGAAAAGAAGGTAAAAGTTCCACTCTTTACCTGTATTCCCTACAATGGTTATAATACTACAGTTAGAGTCTGGCATCAGATATAACCGCATTGAATCCTGAAACAGAAACAATTCCAACCTTATACTCTGCTTAGAATATATCCATTTTGAATTCTGCTCAATGGTTCAAAAGGATCCAACTATAATAAATCAGTTTTTCTAAATAACTCATATTGCTACAAATGCTGAAAAGAGCTAATGTGATCAGCAAATATTTATGCAAATAAATAGACCACAGGAAATATGCATGCAGAACTTTATTACCTTGTCCATTTCTAAAATGGAAAACCCTCCAACAAAGAGGGCAGAAGCAGATGCAGATCCAGAGATATGATTGGCTCCTCTTAACAAAACATGGACAGAAACAGATAAATCCTGTCTCATGTCTTTTGACTTGGGAATAGAATGTACTAAATGCTCCGGAGAGTAAGGGAAGAAGAGGCAATATGAATTTCCAGAGAGATCCTTCCATGGCTTTGCATATCTACAATCCACAAGAATGAAAGCAACATTGAAGGATGAAACTGTAGATCAGTTGTTTCGTGCAAAACAAGAGCAAAGAGCAAGACAGGAACAAACCCGACAAAAGTTGGGTCCACTCTACAGTCATTAAGGACTTGCAAGTCGTTCCGAGGAGCTTCAGACTTGTGGTAATGATCATCACTTTCACAATAAAACAAATAGATCAATTGGAAGAACAAATACCTTTGTACGTTATTTAATAGTGACAGGCTGCCAAACATATACAAGTTAACAACACATAATGAAAGATGATACAAGCAATGGAGATCAAATCCATTGAGATAAACTATCAAAATGAAATAGAACCATCCAAAAAACTAAAAATTTGCAATAATAGAAATGAAATCTCGAACAATATAAGATTAAAGGTGATACTGAAATGGGTATTGAAACAGGTACTGAAACATTTTCATCAGAATTTTTCATTTTATTTTTCTTGCAGTGTAACAAGTGCCAAATAATCCTGTACACACAAAGTGATTATCAAATTTCTTCCTAGTCTCTTAATTCCCACCCCTCCCAACTCTTTGCAGGGAGTTGATGCAATGTTCCTCACGATGAAAACATGCAAAATTTTCTTTTCTCATATTGCATTTGTTTGTACAAGCTTCCAAGAGATTCTGTATCATTTTTGCAAGTTGTAAATTGAACAATAAACAACTTCGTATATTAGGATTTCAGACAAATCGACAAAGAAATAGCAATGTATACACTCACGAAAAGAAAAATGCTCTAAAAAAGTTTTCATATAACTTTTGGAAAGGAAACGTAATTGAAACACCACTGGAAAGGTTGTAGACGGTTTGATTAGCAATTAAGGAAGCAGACAAGCTATTGTCACAAAGTCGATGACTCAAATACTACAATGTCAAGGCAGAGAAATTTCTACCCAAGAATCTTTAAGGAAGCAGAACATAAGAGAAAATTGAACATGCTCAATTAAGAAATTCTCAAGGCAGAACCCTTATTTTGAGTATGTAAATTCTACAAGTTCATTTGTCTTCCAAAGACACAAATTTCAGAAATTATAGACAATGTACGACCAAAATGAAATCCAGGGAAATAATCTTAATATCATTAGCTTCCAAGCAATGGACATAAAGATGTGCTAAATTCTAGTTGCTGTCAAGACAAAAAGGCCAATTTACAAACCTGAACCTCACGGGGAAGCTATATCCTTTTGCTGGGATGGGAACGTTTGTTAACATCTCTTTGGGAGCATCAATAAACACAATAGTCCCTTTCAACACTGTAACTGCTGTTTGTAGTTTCAAACTTGAATTTTTAAAGATAACTGTTTGAAGAAATGAGTTCCAGGCAAGGTAAATCAGCACCATTATATTCAAGCCAGTCAAATCATGCTAAAAAGGACAGAGACAAGAAATCCATTAAAATAGTTTACTGAAAATCTAGAACAGCGAAGGGAAAAATGTTCTGCCCAATACCTCAAGTAGTACCTTCCCCAATGGCTTCAGCTTTTCCAGACATCATGTCCACATATATAACACTTTCATTGGCACTCAACCAAAGGCCAAACACTTGATCATTTAATCCTAGCATAAAACGGAAAATGGAAAAGTAACAATTAACTTAAAGCTCCACTTTGTCTTCAGAAACAAAAAAAATTGGCATTTGAATTATTCAGCAATTTTAGACTAAGATTTCTACCGGACAGATACAATTAGTATGGCTTTTTAAACATTAATTCAATGTTGTCTTTTAGATCTAGATTTCCGAAATGGATTTGTGAGTTTCAGTTGTGACCAACTGAAAATTAATGTAAAATTTTATCATACACCAACCTTCTACACTGAAGTTAAGCCGACTTCCAAGGTGGAGGACTGGATTCTGAGGGTATGGGTGAGATGAAAGCAGAACTAGTTCGGGAGATTGGGGAGTTAGATGTGAAGGAGGCCGATGAGGGATTATCTCAAACATTAAGGTATAGGAGGTCAATGCTAAGAATGAAGTTGGAGGAGATCATTTTTAAGGAGCAAATTTTTTGGGGTCAAAGAGCTAAGTTGAAATGGGCTAGAAAGGGTGATACTAACTCTAGATTTTATCATAGAGTTGCGTCGGGGAAGCGGAAGAAGAGTTTTATTAAGAATTTGGAGGTGGCTTCAAGTGAAGTCGTGTGTAAGGAGGAGCTTATTGTCAAGGAAATTTTTAATTTTTATTCAAATCTATACTCTGATGGGGGTGTGGATCGTCCAGGGATTGAAGGCATTAATTGGGTCCCAGTGGATTTAGTGTCTGCTAGTTGGTTGGAAAGACCCTTCGACGAAGATGAGGTGAGACAGGCTGTATTTGAGTGCGACAGAGAAAAGGCTCCTGGCCCAGATGGTTTTTCAATGGCAGTATTTCAGGATTGTTGGGAAATTGTAAAAAGGGATCTTATGAGGGTTTTTTCTGAGTTTTTTGAGAGCGGGCAGGTTAATTTGTGCACCAATGCATCCTTCATTTGTCTAATTCCCAAGAAGGAGAAGTCAATCATGATTGGGGATTTTAGACCCATTAGCTTGGTCACATCTCTTTATAAGATTTTAGCTAAAGTGCTTTCTAGAAGGCTAAGAGTAGTCCTAGGGGGAACTATTTCTTCGGCACAAGGTGCACTCGTGCAAGGTCGGCAGATTTTGGATATAGTTTTAGTGGCCAACGAGGTTGTGGAGGAGTATAAGGGAGTACGTAAGGAGGGTATTGTATTTAAGGTAGATTTTGAGAAGGCATATGACCATGTTGATTGGGGTTTTGTGGGTTTTGTTTTGGAAAGGAAAGGGTTTGGTGTTAGGTGGAGGAAATGGATTTGGGGGTGCTTGTCGTCCTGCAGTATGGCAATTATTGTGAATGGCAAGGCGGGGGATTTTTTCCAAGCATCTAGGGGTCTAAGACAGGGTGATCCTTTTGAAGCTTGGGTAACCAGCTTAGGGTATGATGAGATATCACCCCTTATTTATAAATGAAGATTTAGGGTTTACAAAGAAGACAATTACAAGATAATCCCTGAGTACTCACTTACAATTTGCGGATGATACTATTTTCTTCTCATCAAAGGAGGAAAACAAGGTGGGGAGTCTGCTGAAGATTCTAAGAATTTTTTAAATAGTGTCGGGCCTCAAGGTCAATCTTAGCAAAAGCAGTGTTGTGGGTATTAATTTGGCGGATAGTCATGTGCATAGGGTGGCGGCCATGTTGGGATGTTCAATTGATTCCTTTCCCCTCAAATATTTAGGGCTTCCGTTGGGAGGAGATCCTAGATTGGTGTCTTTTTGGAAACCTGTTCTTGTCAAAATTAGGAAATGACTGGAGGGATGGAAGCGAGCTTTGTTGTCCAAGGGAGGGAGGTGTACATTGGTACAATCCGTATTAGGATTTGTTCGTATTTATTTCCTGTCCCTTTTCAAAGTTCCGGTTAGCATTGCAAGAAGGATTGAGAAATTGATGAGGGATTTTCTCTGGGAAGGGTGTGAGGAGGGTAAAGGAGTTCATTTGGTTAAGTGGGAGACTGTTTTTCTTTCTAGGGCAAAAGGTGGCTTGGTTATAGGAAACATCGTTGCTAGGAATATTGCTTTTTTGGGCAAATGGTTGTGGAGATTTCCTTTTGAAAGTGAGTCGTTATGGTGTTCAGTTATTAAAAGCAAGTATGAAATTCAATCCAATGGTAGGGATTCTAATGTGGTTAATAGAGGCAATCATCATTCTCCGTGAAAATCAATTTCTTGTTTGTATCCTCTTGTGTCTAATTGTCTTTCATTCAAAGTGGGGAATGGGGAGAATGTTCGGTTTTGGGAGGATGTACTACTACAAAAATAGTTAAAGATCACACTTTGACAAAAAAAAAGATCACACTTTTATTGGAAGTGTGATAAAAAAAATTAGATTGATATTTTAATCACACTTAATTTGATTGAGTGTGATAATATTTATTTTTTATGTCACTTTTCAATTAAGTGTGACTATATATATATATTTTTAATCACACCTTCTAATTAAAGTGTGATTATATATACACTATTACTTTTTAATCACACTTTTTAAACAAGTGTGATTATATATATATTTTTTAATCACACATTCTAATTAAAGTATGATTATTTATATAATTTTTAATCACACCTTCTAATTAAAGTGTGATTATATATATACTACTACTTTTTAATCACACTTTTTAAATAGGTGTGATTATATAGATATTTCTTAACCACACATTTTAATTAAAGTGTGATTATTTATATATTTTTTAATCACACCTTCTAATTAAAGTGTGATTATATATACACTACTACTTTTCAATCACATTTTTTAAATAGGTGTGATTATATAGATATTTTTTAACCACACATTCTAATTAAAATGTGATTATTTATATATTTTTTAATCACACCTTCTAATTAAAATGTGATTATATATACACTACTACTTTTTAATCACACTTTTAAATAGGTGTGATTATATATATATTTTTTAACCACACATTCTAATTAAAGTGTGATTATATATACACTACTACTTTTTAATACATTATATGCTCTTGTTTCGATTTATTAGGCTAACTTACTATGTGATGCACACGCAAGTATAGACTAATTTGCAAGAATTGGAACACTTGATTTCATGTTTGTTTTTGAAAAGAGTGTGAATGTGCCACTTGAAAAAGTGGGCTCAAATGTTCATTAATCAAACTATCCCAATTCAAGCAACTAGTCTTCATCCACAGGCATTCAAATAGTTTATCATTTAAGCACTTAGCCTCTTGGTGAACATGCTTTGATATGGAAACACTTAACATACAAATGCAATATGCTAAAACAAAGAAAAGAAAAGCTCACCTAGTACTCCAAGCCAAAAAAGATGACAAAGTTAGAAAAAATATATGATCCTAATTATGCAATATGGCTAATGCAATGCATGCGATATGCAATTATTAGGCTCGACTACTAGTATGGCATATGAATCGATTTGATAGCATGCGGTCTAAGCATGTATTCAAAAAATGTTAAATTAACAATGCAAGTTAGAATGATGAACCGAGCTCAATGCAAGTAAGACAAATGAATGCGCATGAGAGATGTTAAACAAAACATGATGTCTAAACTAACTATCATAAGCAAGTAAATAAAAGGGAGTAAGATGTGGGGTTGAAAGACATACACACTATTACGAGTGTGCCCTCGCACAGGAGGGTCCGAATAAACTAACTATCTAAGCTAATTAACTAGCTATTACAATAACAAATTAACTAATTATTACAAATTGACTAAATTAACTATTTTAGCTAGTTATTACAAAACCAATAATTAATTAACTAGTCTATGGAACTAACTAATTAATTACACTAATTAATTAATTACAAAATCTAATTAGCTAACTAATTTATTACAACATGAATACAACATGAAATAAAGTAACTAAATTAACTAATTAGCCCCAGGAAGCGAGGGATGCTCATGCATGCGTGGATTTCCACCCGAAAAGCACACTGTTCTGCTGCCAGAATGCTTCTGTTGCACAGTAGAACATCTTTTCACCTCAGCCTCTGCTTTGTTCTATTCCAAAAAAGCTGCTGCTTAATTTTACAAAAGTGGCCGGCAGTCCAGAAGTGGTGGTCGACCGGCCACAAATGGTAGCCTACCATCTAGAAGTAGTGGCCTGCCGACCATTGAAGCTTGGTTCCTCCTATTGCAACAGAATGCATACAGAGTACAAACAGGGTATTTTCGAGGTATGTTTGTACACCTTACCCCTCCTTATCATCAAACAGCTCAAAGGAGTAGCAAGCTCAATTCACAAGCCATCAATCGATGCACTTTGATTGCATGATGGCCTATGAACCAAGGTGTACAATTTCAATAAATGCAACATAAAAGACTCTCAAGCCTCCTCCCTATCATCCCTATCATGGATTGATCAAGGGAAGTGGTTGACCTTGGAAACTTGAACCATTTCATCACTAACAAGTATGAAATGCCTCAAGTTTCCATGTGTTCAATTAATGTCTGATTGAACACCAAATTACTTATTATCTTGCATCATTTTTAGTCCCAATTTTTATTACTCCATTTTAATTACCAACCATTCTTTAATCAATTGAGTCCAAAAGTGAGCTTTAAGTCCTCTAATGGAAAGGAGCACCAAACCAAGTGTTTGTTTTATGCATGAGAGAAGTGTCACGCCATTGTTAATGAACCACCAAAGGGATTAAACCATTAAGCACAAGACCTCAATCTCAAGCTTTAAGCAAATAACTAGTTTGAAACAACTGTCAAAGCAATGAAAAAGCCAAGAAAGGAGGGAGGTTGCAAATGTGATTAGATATGAAGACAAGTATGGAAAGCAAGAAATAAACACTATCAATTCAAATAGGTTGGTGGCTAAGGCCTAAACCACCAAACCTATGAGGACCATTACACTACAAGCATGTAGTATAAAGCATAAATGATACAACCAGCCCAAAACAGTCCTAAAGTAAGCAAAAAGAGTGCTGGAATTTAGGTAAAAATAGCTAAAAGACTAAGCTAAAATAATGGAGAATTTAAGCTAGTAAACAAGCCAAAGGAGGGGTGGCTAACCCCTCCATATTTGTGACCTCAAAACATGATTTTTAGCATCTAAAAAACTCTAACAATCAGTGGTAAAAAGCTAAAAAAAAGTTGATGAGAAGGTGGGAAACACAAGGGCAAAGGCCTTAAAATTAAGGTTCAAAGAAAGGCTATCAACCCCTTTACCTTTAATGGCCTTAAATCACAAGTTTCATCCCAAAAATACAGGTAATAAACAGCTTAAAAACAGCAAGAAAAGATGGAGAACAAGTGGTGTAGAGATGATACAAAAACACTAGAAGGTATGCCTTATTGAAGAGGA